TTCCCCTCTGGTCCTCACTGCAACTTAAATCCTCCCTCCAGGCGAAATTGACTTCACACAAGTACTGCCATGCTCAGTGGATGACACAGTTTCTCTAAAAATATCCCCTTCACTGGCAATGGATTGCTGTTGAGCTCTATTTCCTGTCAGAACACACTCGACTAGACGATGAGATGGAGGGAAGGAGAGAGATGAATGGAAAGAGCGAGAGTGAAGGCACAGAAATGCTTCAAACATAGAGTTATCAAAAAGCACCGAGCAGGGGTTGCGATACTCATCAAATGCGCCTCAGGCTCCCTCTTATCATGCATATTAAAACCCACAGTCCCTCGTACACATTGTAATAAACACAAACATACACCTCACAAATGCATCGTGTTTGTTTAACAATCGTGAAAGCTAAACACACACACGCACACACACACACACACACACACACACACACACACACACAATGAGGGGTTTGATGGAGTGTGATGATGGGAAATGTGCTGAACAACAAAAACAGGAGAAAACACAAACTAGATTTTTATTGTACTTCATTTTCAGAAGAAAAGTTTTTAAGGCCAAAAATTAAGTAAATATTAACACTTCCGTTCAAAAGTTTGGGGTCTGTATAATTTTTCAAAAATACATATATATTTTTTTTTCAGCAAGGATGCATCAAGCATCAAATTGATCAAAAGTAAAGTGAAGATTTTTACAATATTACAAAAGACTATATTTCAAATAAATGTTGTTAATTTGAACTTTCTATTCATCAGAGAATCCTGAAAAAAATGTATCACTGTTTCCGCAAAAATATTAAGCAGGTCGAATATTAAAATATTAAGCAGGTCAACTGTTTTCAAAATTGATAATAATAAGAAATGTTTCCTGAGCAGCAAATCAGCATATTAGAATGATTTCTGAAGGATTGTGTGACACTGAAGACTGGAGTAATGATGCTGAAAATTCAGCTTTGATCACAAACAAATTATACTTTAAAATTTATTAAAATAAAAAAGTTATTTTAAATTACAATAATATTACACAATATTAGTGTATTTACTGTATTTTTGATCAAATAAATGAAGCATTTGCGAGAGTTTTTTTTTTTTCAAAAACACATTTCTGAACAATAATATATGCATGGATTAATTGTTTACAATAAGTAAACATTAAAAAACATGCATTAAGAAAATAATTTTTACATATTTACTTTATTTTTTAATAATTGTATTATTTTCAATTCTATATTAAATTAGTATTTCCATAATACTCAAGTCTCTACAATATTCTGGTGCCTAGGCAGAGACCTCGATTCACTTAAATGATTTACATTTGGTTGGTTGATTGATTGATTGATTGATGGATGGATAGGTGGAAAGACAAACTGATGGGTGGATGAAAAGAGTTTGTACCACACATATCAGGTGTCCTAAAATCCAGACCTAAAAAACCAAGCTCAAAAAGCTTCCACTGTTTTGGATTCAGACCCAGAAGGAGCTGAAAGCAGGGACGAAACCCAAGTCTCCATCTCAGCAGCCCTGAGCAAGAGCGTTTATTCTTATCTGCAGTATCTGACAGAAGACTCAAGCAGAGGTCAGTCTGAGCAGCTGTGTAGGTGTTAACAGCAGGGATAAAGCCTCTTTCTCTTGAGTTATTTAGCATGGTATGCCTGCATGCAAGTGCAAAATAACCACAACATAAGCCTGGAGGGAACTTGTGTATTCCAGTGACATGTTTGAGCACACATGCCAAAAAGCCAGTATGCCATTCATAATGCATTTAAAGGGATAGTTCAGACAAAAATTTAAATCATGTACTCAAGTCATTCCAAACCTGTATGACTTTCTTTGTTCTGTAAAATACAAAAGAAGATATTTTCAAAAATGCTTTTGTCCATACACTGCAAGTCAGCGGGGTCCAAAATAACACTAGACCACTTTGAGTTTCATTGTATGAGCAAAACCCACAGAGACATTATTCTAAATATTTTTGTTTGTGTTCTGCAGAAAAAAAGTAAGTCAGGTTTAGAACAAAATAAGGGTGAGAAAATAATAATATTTCCATTTTTTGGGTGAATTATACTTTTAAGGTGAAGTGTGTAAATTCTGAAAGAATAGTAATAATAAAGAAACACAATTAATAATAATAATAATAATTATTATTATTATTATTATGAAAGAATAATGAATACAGAGAAGAATACTGAAAGAATAATAATAATAAAAAACGCAACTAATCTTAATAATAATAATATTTATTATTATTATAAAAACAGTGGTAGTAATTACCAGATAGCTCTTAATAATCCTAATATGTAAAATAATAATAACAATTATAAATTTGTTTAAAATGTTAAAAAATGCATTTTTAATTAACATATATCTATATTACCTATCTATCTATCTATCTATCTATCTATCTATCTATCTATCCATACATGCACGCACACACACACATTTAATATT